TTTTTTTTTTTTTTTGCAGTATCGTGTATTGAATTCAGAATACTTGCTTGCCAGGAAAGCACTTATTCTAATGAGCTATCAGTATGTTCCCCAGCAGTATGTTCCCACTTCTGTCTTTGCATCTGCTATTTGTTTTTTTGTTTTGTTTATACTTTTCAAAATAAAATAAATTAAATTAAATTGGATAAAACTTAGGTTTTGCTTAAAAAATAAAGTGGTGATTAAGGTGGATGAGGGTCAGGAATACAGAGTCAACCTCCTTCCAAGGATTTAGAGCACAGACAATTGCTTTGCCCTTCCCCTCCTGAGAGATTTCAGTAAAGAACACAGAATTTACTGTTGAGAAAATACAATCTCCTTTGAATATTGTGGATGAACGTCTCTAAAAAGCGGTATAGCAAGAGCATTTTCATTGAAAAATGGTCAGAACAAGATTTATCTGTTAACATCAGAATTAGTGTTGTTCTGATGGTTTTAAATTGTACAATGCAAATGCAGAAAGTTAGCCGCGAAAAAAATTGAAGAGAGAAGTAGGCACTGTTTTCTCATTAGGCATAAGACTATTCCCCTGTAAAAACAAAATTTTGGTACTAGCACCAATCAAAAACTAAGTAAAAGATTGTAATAAAAAGATTTCCAATATAACATTTGTAAGTGAAAGTTCTTCGAGAAAAATATATATAGCAAAAACCTCCACAAAACTTACATTAGACATTTTTTAAATCCCTAAAATTCTGGTAAAGAGAGAAAAGCTTAAAAGATATATTTCATAAATTTAACATTTTAAAACTTTAACAATGTTGCCACTAGAGAAAAAGTTAAATGACATAATTTTATATCAATGACAAATACTGCACTAGTACTCTGACATTTTTAAATTGTTGAGATTTTCAGAAGACAAAAGAAACATGCTACTTAGTCAAAAAGCAGTTAAACATATCAATGCATCAATGGCACAGATTATAGAAAATAACATCTATCTACCATCTATCAATCAATCATCTTTACATAATGAAATTTATATTATTTTTGAGATAATTAGAAATTCACTAAGTATTAAATTGTTATTCATACTGAAAAGTAAACTCTTGTGAAAACTGAAATTAAATGAGTACACTTATTTATAAAAAATATATTCCAGTTTGATCCCTGGGCCTGCCCCACGATTGAGACAGGGTGTGGCAATACGTGACTATAATCCCAGCCCTTGGAAAGCTGTGAACAGGAGGATCACTATGAATCCAGTCTACATAGTGAGACCCTATAAACCCTGTACTAATTACAAATATATATATATGTATATATATATATATATTTATAATATATATATATATATATATATATATATTCCAGAGGTACTAAATATTTTTGAATATAAATCAATGAGCATTGCAAATATTCTAGAGTATTATACAGATGTTAATATTATGAATTGAACTGCAAATGGGAAAAGGAAACAAGCAAATGTTGTGATTTTTTTATACTCTAAAAAAATTCTTTTCCTGGGCTGGGGAGATAGCTCAGTAGAATAAGTGCTTGCCTAGCAAGCTCAAGGGCCTGAGTTCAATCATCCGTTCCGCCAAAAGAAAGAAAAAAAATTATTTTCCTTTAACCATATCTATTTCTGGTTAAGCATGATTTATATAAAAATTTTTACAATGAACAAAAGCCTAGTAAATCATTTTTTAGATGTATTGCTATCAATTGTTTTTTCCCCTAATATTCCAAATATTTTTCCATATTATAAAGCCTTTTCTAAGATAAAAAATTGTTGTATGGTAATTAATCAAATAAAATATTCCTAAAATAATGCATGTAATATTACCAATCCAAAGGTTAATAAAAGATTTGCCTACATATCCACAGTATGACACTTGCTTAAATTCAATTTAGGCCACTCGTGCAATGTAAAGGTTAAGGAAATAATACTTCCCTGAGTGGGTGGTTGAAAAGATGAATTATTTTGTTTCAGGTTGTGATTTGATAATATGTGCATAATATTTTAATATATATTACATGGATGTTATAAGTTTTTTAAACCTGGAATAGAACAACTCATAATTTCCAAGCAGGTTCTGTGCTACTGAGCTATATCCCCAGCCCCAAATTAGATAATTTTGAATGCAACCATTTTACACTTTAACATTCTTTTCCTGTTTGTTTTTGGTCTTGGGACTTGATCTCAACCCCTCACACTCACCAGGCAGGTGCTTCTGCAGGTGAGCTCTATCTCCATCCCTACTCTGCAACATTCTTTTCCTTTAATCAGAGAGCATTCCTCAAAATATCAGACATTTATTTCCCTCCTTAAATGACAGGAAGAATTAATTAGAAATTTTGGAATGCACTAAATTTGGTAATAAATGAATTATAATAGGTTGAAAAGTTAAGACTTTTGTAATAAGAATTAACAGAGTCATATGGAGAGAAAACATTCTCTCAGGTTCTCACAGAGAGGAAATTGGTGAAGCAATGGCCGTGACTCATCCACATGGCTGACACTGACAAAGGATATAGAAACTGCAGTACAGGGTTTGGGGATGAGTCTTGAGGGGACCTGACTGACCTTGTCAGATACAAAAGTTCCATTTCTTGTTATATAGGTCTTTCTTTATCTTGGTATTAATAATCCAGCAGAAAAGTATAAAAATTAGGTAAAAGAAAAGTAAAGCAATATTAATAAGCTGAGCTGTAAAAGGCTCAAATCAACAACTTCTGACATTGCCAGTCCTACGGATAACCCACTACTATCATGGACTACTGGATTATAGTGTATTATTTTGCTGAATTCATGCACCTACAATGTTTAAATGGCAATGGAATACCCATCTCTAACAAAGCTAAACAAAAAAAGGGGATACAAAGGAAGAAACATTTTGTATCTGTATATACAAAATAGGATAGATGCACAGCTACTTTCTCTTGATTCAATGAGAAGAAAGATTTGTACTAATAATATTTGGACAGGATATCATGTCCGTATGTTGTACTATGAATAACCACTAAGAAGATAACAATATGCATCGTACGAATTATTGAAACTGTCCTATTAATCAGTTTTGAAACTCTTTGCTATGTGCTTCTCAATAAAATTAATTTAAAAATAAATATATATAGTAATATTTAAGGAAAACACATTGAGAAAAAACTGAAAAAGATTAACACTAGTTTGTGCTCATATTTCTGTGCAGAAAAGCCCCAGTATTAACAAGATTACAGTACAAGTATGACCACTGAAATGTTATATCTGAGCAATATGATCCTTTACATTAGAATTAGATTTTTAATATAATGTTGATGCAAAATGTATAAATTTCTTATGTATAAATACTTTTATTTTCTAAAAGTTATTTCCTTTTACTTTCTCATTTTATCAGGACTCTAAATTCTCTCCTGGGTTCCTAAACTCTTGTTTCTGGTGGCTGCATCAACCTGGGCACAGAAACCCAGAAGTCCAGGTGTGTTCTTTTCAGCCACAGACAGAGCTCGCGGTGCATGGGCTAGAGCAGGGTCCCCTGCAACAGGAGCCTGATTCTCTAAGCATATGTGGGGACAGCAGAGGAGAAGCAACAGTAGGTATCTCATTCTCTCCTCCTAGAAATAGAAGCAAATCATACATCTTTGAACTATTTTTGAAATGTGATAATGCCTGATATCTGGTCAGTTTGTCATCACCCGCTATACTCAGATTCTTTCTTATCACCCTGGGCTGTTTTTAGTTAGGATCCTCTCAGGTAATTTATCCTCTTACAGGGTTTAGACTTGGACAAGAAAGTTCTGAGTCAAGCACTAAAAAACACTTCTAAATTGTCACCAAAATAAAAACTTATTAGTAAGAATCAGAGTCAAATTTGTATATTAAGTACATATGTAAGAGCACATATTTTAGAAAATGATAGAAGGAAAACACATTCAGGGTTTTAATGACAAGTGACTCTCATGCCACCTGCTCAAGAAGCTAAAGCAGAGGAATCTTGAGCCCAGGAGATTTTTTACAGCAAAATCATCACATCATTTACCTTTCTCAATAGCTATGTGGGCATAAGGAATGTGTCTAGGAACAAAAAAACATAAGCAAAGATCTGGATGTTGTAAGGAGTGTGAGATAGGTAGAAACCCCATTTATAGAAGGAAGAGGCCCAAGTTCCTTACTGAGCTGTTCCTGGTCCCAAATAATTTGTAGCCTTAAGGAGATCACAATCACAGCTGGCTAAAATAGGGCTCTGATTTCAAAACAGAAGCCTCCATCACCAAGTGCAAAGCAATATTTACTACACTTTATTAACTAACGCACGCACATGATGACACAGAAGAAAGACAACACACAGTAAAAGTTACATCAACAGGTCAGAAAACCTTCCACACCTGAAATTCCAATTCTACAGCTGTGTATACCCCTCACATGGCTTTTCAGGGTTCATATTAGGAAGGGTCTGGGCACAGTGTCCTCTCTGTGGATGAGATCCCAAAGCGCTCCCACCTGTAAGCACTGTTAAACACCAGTTGAGACAAAAAGACCATGTCCCTCCTTTCTGCGAGACCAGAAGCCCAGAGTCTGTCGCCCTTAAGAACTGTTCGAGTCCATGAAGGAACAAACATCTGAATCCTCTAGACAGGAGAGCAAAACCATTGGGAGCTGAGTTTCTGTTCTTATCAGGATGCCAGCCAAGCATCCTACTGTGTAATATTTACAAGACTGTGGCACTGTGTTACGGACAAAGCAGATCTTTCCATACACAGATTTAATCCTTCCTGTGCGCAGCTGCAACAGGGAACCTATGAGTGGGCATCTTCTCTGAGACTCAAGAAATCACTGGACCACTGAGAAGTCCCTTTCTTACAAAGCCACAAGTAGTTTGCTAGAATTTCTGAATATTTGGAAAATTCATTATTTAACTACAAGTTTGGCATCAGCCCTGATAAGATAGGATATGAGAAGAGAAAAATACATCCAACTGAGAGAATTCCCCTGACTTATCAGACCCGAAAGCTACAACTCTTGTTGCATGGGTCCTGCTTTACCTTGGTCTTAACCATCCAGCAGAAAAGTATAAAAATGAAATATAAGAAGTAAAGCCATGCTGTTATGTTGAGCTGTGGGGGACTCAGGTCAACAATTTCTGACATTGCCAGTGAAGTGGAAGACCCAATGCTATTTTGGGCTACTGGACTCTTTTAGAATATTTTGCTGAGTTTACACACCTATAATATTCAAATAACGGAACTTAACAAAAGAAAGGGTATACAGATGAATGTCCATTTTGTATTTGTGTATTGAAAGTGGTTAGGATATATATATAGTTACATTCTCTTAATGAATAGAGTCATTTGTACTAATGGTGTTTGTAGATAGGATATCATGTCCGCATCTTGTACAGCTATTAACCACTAAGAAGAATGCATGCAGTGTGTTAATTATTGAAACTGTCCTACCAATTTAATTTGAAACTGTCTCATTGCTATTTGTTCATCAATAAAATTATGGGGAAAAAACGGTGGTAGGGAAAGTCTCACAGATGATTTCAAAAGAGGAGCCTCTATCATTTTGCATTCAGCTTGCAGTGGTAGGAGTCCTAGAGCATCATAAAGATTATTTGAGACAGTAACTGAATATTTACAGAATAATGTTACTGCAAGAAGAAGGGGTAAACATATCAGAAGGCAATCTGTAACTATGTGAAGAATTTACAGCAAGAGAAATGGAAAGTCCTTTACAATATTATGCGATATTTGGCAGTAGCCACTCAGCACTTAGCTTAATCCAATAAGCTCAATTTAGAAGAACATCATCTAATTCCACGCAATGGTGTCCAGGTCTGAGGAAGGCATGCAACACAGACTACAGGGCTAGGAGGGCCCATCTTAGGTTCTAAGAGTGAAAAGAAGAAGCTAGCAACAGAAACAACTAAAAAGAATAGTTCATCCTCCATGCAAAAGCATACATAGACAAGGTAAATATAGGCAGGGTTGTTGTGCCCATTTCGGTGGGCAGAACAGGTGGCACTATAGAAAATATTGATAGATTGATCCATGAGTGGTAGCCATTATCTATCCTGATGTCCAGAAATAAAACACATAACTGAAGAAGACACTTACTGAATAAAATAGAATTCTCTAGTAGGTTGTATATCAATCATACCAGTATAGTAAATGTAGTAATAAAGAGACAAGAAACACCCAATCACCACGTCTCCGTCCTTGTGCACACCGGTGCTCCTTTGGCGAAGGCAGGCTTCATTATCAAAAGTACACACTAAGGAAGGAAGCTGCAGGAGAAGGAAGATAGAAATCAAAGCCAACATTCTCGATATGCAGGCAAAGCTTAGGGCAGAGTGAAGAGGAAAATTGCAATCTGAGCCACATAAATAAGTATGCTGTGTGTGTTTCAACTTTGCATGGTTTCAGATTCAGGTCGACACTCTGATGCCCCAGCTGCTGTCAACATTGCCTGCTCCATGTCCCTGGAGAATGTGCCACCATTCTCACCCTGGGCTCTACATCTGAGGTCTGGTGACCAGGAGAAAAACACAAGACAAATTGAGCTCGCATGTAACTTTCTGTACCTTGAACCATCATGACTTAATCCAGTTCCACTGGTGGCAGCACCCCAGTGACCACCTCTTCCATGGAAGATTTGCTCTTAAGTCTTTGTCAATAAGCCACTGGCACAGATTCCATTAGATGTGCTGCTAATGGATTGCATGAGAGGATTTACTGTTAAGAGTCTCTGGAAATAGTCTGGAAAGCCTCAAGGTCACTAAAAGATATTGGACACTGTGCCTTCCAAAGTGAAAGTTCAGGAATTGTCACCTGCAAGGCCCACAGGACATTCCCTGCATATATGTGTTATCTTTGTACCAGTCATAGGAAGTGAAACTCACAGCCACACCTGCTCTGTATTATTGGGGTGCTAGTAGTTGCCTCACAGCCAGGAAACCCAAATTAGTGACTAAACATGAGTGCAGAAACACAATGCATTTTGAGTTGTATAATATTGCCTATTTCCCCGCTGCTTCATTCTTTTAACTATCTTCATTCTATGATTTAATATGCTTCTAGAATGCATTTCTCCTCTTACATGCTCGAGTACCTCCAGGAGTTTGGCTTCTATGAGAGCATGGGCCTGTGTGAACTATTTCTCTTTTTCCCTCACCCTAAAGCAGAGGAGCAAACTGAAAATGGCTTCTATATTTTCCATCACTCAAAGTATTGAGGAGCAAGGAACCACAGGTAATGTGTACACCTCTGAGTATCAGGGCAGAGCGATTATTCTAAACAATACTGTATTAGTTCAGTGCATGCCTTCCAATATTTGTCATAATCTAAATAACCAGCGCAGTGAGTCTCGATATGAACTTGATCTTCTCTTATTTTGTAAGAATAATTATTGGCTTATAAATTGTGACATGTTAGTAATAAGCAATTTGTGAAAGATGCAAGGAAACATCAACTTCTGTATGAATAAACTTTAAAAATTAAAGTATGTACATCTTGAGAAAATATATGTTCTCCAATTTTTGAAGAGTTTTCCCTCCATCAGCAGACAAGCCCAGTGTGGGGCATCGTGCTAGAACATTCAATGGATAGGCTCAGTGTGGAACCCTGCAGTGGAATTATCTGCAGAAGCAGAACATCTATCCCGTGGGGCACAGCAGGTTCACTTCGATGGGCCACAGCAGGAAGAACCAAAGCACAGCAACCAGAACCAAGCCAGACCCAGCTGGCCAAGTTTGAACTTGGTTGATCCAGACCCAGTTAGTTGAACCATACTGCTAGACATAGTTCTACAACAGCATCAGAGAGAGAGAGAGAGAGAGAGAGAGAGAGAGAGAGAGAGAGAGAGAGAGAGAAACAGACAGAGATTCCATGTACATCATCAAGGGGAGGTGACCAGATGAAATGTACAGGAACTAATTTAAATGCAAATTTCTAATTTAATATCTGCTTAGCTATACAATCACAGTATTTGTTCTTATGGTCTAAAATATAAATCAATTAATTACAAAAGTTTGCCAAATGGTAATTCTCACTATCCATTATTAGTTTTTCTAGTTATAGTACTGAAAATGGATAACTATATCTGTCTTAGCCACATAATCTCTCTTGGATAATAGTATCGGAAGGTGCTTGGGTAATAACTGTTCCAAAGCTATACAACAAAGATCAGAGGACAATGCCAAACACAAACCAATATCTCACTCTTAATTAATAGAGAGGGCAAAATCTTGGGACACACAAAAAATAAGAATCTTTGAAATGGAAGAGATGCCTAAAAAACAAATTCTTTAGAGAGGCTCTGATCACAGTGATACAACTAACTACTAGCAAAAACTCACAAAACCGTATCACAGAAATAAACCTAAAGAGTTCTCTCTGAAATATAAAATGGCAAAAAGAAGGAGTGAAATGAATTCTAAGGCCCCAAGTCCACTCAGAACAAATGCAAGAGACAGTAGCATAGAAGAAATTGAAATTCACACAACTGACATTTCTGAAGTAATAACATCTGAAGTAAAGAAGCAACTGCAGAAATCTTGAGAGGAAGACAAGTCAGAAATATTCCCTGAAAAAATATAACTTAGGAATTTTATTTATTTATTTATTTAGATGTTGCCAGGGATTGAACTCAGCACCTTGCATTTGCCAGGCAAGCACTTATTTGACTGAGATGTCTCCTCAGCTTAACTTAAGAATTTAAAACATTTCAATTGAGTTGCTACATGTATGCACATGTGTTAGTGTTAAAAAGTAAAAGATCTTTTGTATACCTCAATATATATAATGTAAGGTTTCTGAGCTAATCTTTCTGAACTTCAGTTTGCTGTTGGAAAGAGAAGAATAATTCTTTTCTTAATGAATTTGAGTTATTTGTAAAGATTCTTTAAAAAATTATAAAGGACTAAGTTGTGTGTATATTGTGGTGAATTGTGTCCTTAAAGCATGTTTTTAATAATAGTTATATTGAATCTTTGGAGTTTTATGATGTTATACTTCAGAAAACCACAGAGAGTTAGTATGAGACTATATTATTTATAGTTTTTTTCTGTGGCCCACATCTTCAAACATAAACCTCTTTTAAAAAGTAATTACTTTAGTGTTAATCCCCAACACTTGTTGAATACGTTTTGGTTTGAGTTTTAAAAGGCCTTTTAATTTATACTAGTTATACCTGCTTCTTACATTAGTTATACTATGTAGTAACATGTGGGGTTTAATCCCTTAATGGTAAAGTATTAAGGTACATAGATAACAGGTTCATGGGTATAACAGCTGAAATGAACTACTGTTCCTATTGAAATTTTGTTTCTGTGCAGATGTTATAATGTAGCCTTAATAACATGATTATAAATCAGTAAAAATGATGGGCATATTGGTGCATGCCTATAATTCTAACAGTTTGGAAGCAGAAGCAGGAAGATTGCCATGAGTTCAAGATTAGTTCTGAGTTACCATAGCAAGACCCTGTCTCAAAAAAAAAGACATAAATCACTGAAAATGTTGTTTTCAGGATTTTAAATTAAATTATAATTCATTCTTTTGATGTATGTGAGATATTTAGTATGCCAAATTATTGTTAAACTTTCCGGCCTACATCATTCTGATTATTAGATAAAATGAAGCATGTGAAGTGTGTGTGTGTGTGTGTGTGTGTGTGTGTTTACTTAGTACAGGGTCTATAGGGTCTACATGATCTCAGATATAGATTGGACTGCTAGTGATCCACCTGTGTTCAGTCCCCAAATGCTGGGATTACAGGCATGTGCCACCACATCCTGTTTCAATCCCTGTCCAGCAGGTCCTGTGGGTGAGGCCTGCACAGGAGAGATTGAACCTTGAGGCTGCACTGTGCCTAAGTAGGAAGTTTAATCCGCGGAGCTATTTGGTCTGCAGCACGTGAAGTTTTAATCAGTGAATATGCCTCATTAGGGAATTTGTAACATAAATATAAACGAAGTGCACAAGTAATCTCTGAATTAAAAAAAAGGAATGACAACTATAAATAAGGAGTTACTATGCATTTCTAAAGAAGACCTTGATTTTAAAAAAAGAGAATAGAAAAATGATGGAATCCTTAAATGAGCAATATAGAAAAATTTAGAACTTATTAAACAGATTCAATGAGATATTCAGGAGGTTAAAACCTCAATTAAAAGTTGGCAAAATTATCTGAATGACAGTGATGTTAGACTTTGAGACCTTGAAGACACTTTTGTAGCTCGTAAAAATTTAAGGACAGATCTCTTAAAAAAACTACGATGCATGAAATACTAACTCAACATCTGCAAGACGATGCAAAGATGAACAACAGAAGACTAAGAGGCATCAATGAAAAAGGAGTCAACACAAGCGACATAAAAAGGATATGGGATGAAGTAATCGCAGAAAACTTCCCAAATATGGAGAAACAATCACACGTTCAGATAATCAAGGCACACAAAACTCCAAATAATATCAACCCAACTAAAACCACAGCCCGGCATATAATTAACAAGATCTCAGAGCACAATAACAGCACACTAAGAGCTTCTGGAGAAAACAAACAGATCTTATTTAAAGGAAAGCTCATCAGAATACTGGCAGATCTTCCTCATAAAGCGTCAAGTCAAGAAGAGCCTAGAGTAAAGTACCCCAAGTCCTATAAGAAAACAAATTCTAATCCACACTTATATGCTCTGATAAACTCTTTAAAATTTAGAAGAAGTAAATTCTTCCACAACAAAGAACAACTAAAGAATTTCATGACAACCAAGGGAACCTTACACAGAATACTAAAAGATATTCTAGAAAGGGATCAAAAGGATTACAATTCCAAAAATGAGAAGGGAAAGAACCCACCCAATAGGGCAAACAAATGAACACACTAGAAAAATAGGTAACCAACAACAGGAAACAACACGAGAAATTTAAGTCAATACTTTTCAGTATTAACCATCATAAATGGACTCAATAAACCCAACAAGGGAAACAGACTGGCCGAGTGGATTAAGAAACAAGATCCAAAATATGCTCTTTACAAGAAACACAGTTAGATCATAAATAAATCCATAGGTTGAAAGTCAGATAATGAAAAACAATTCTACACGCTGCAGGACCTCAGAAAACAACAGGGGTAGCAATCCTGTTTACAAATAATCTGAACTTCAAACCAAGAATGATTAAAGAAAATAAAATTGCCACTACATACAGGTGACAGGAAAAATACACAAGGAAGAGACATGTAACAGTCATAAATAAATATGCAACAAATTTGGGAGCACTGAATTCTATAAGACACGTTTTATTGGACACGAGAAATCTAGTA